TGTTGGAGCCCCCTCCCTGCAGTGGCAGCCCCAGCACTCCCTGGTCTAGGCTCAGATCCTTCCGGCCACCATGAATGTGCAGAGGGATGGGGATGGGTACTCCAGCGCAGGTGAGTAGCTTTGTCCTTGAGCCCTGGTGGGTTGTGTCTGGTGACTTAGACCCCGGGCTGGGAGTCTGAAAGGATGTCCCAGGTTTGTAATCCCTGCTGTAGATATTTGGCCTGCAGAGCCCTTTGTGTGTCCGTGGATGAGAAGTAGGCTGTTTAGTACGTGGTCGGGTGTATGCACTTAAAATCAAGGTGGGCTTAATGCAAACTTCACTTATAGGGCTGGGATTGTAGCTCAGTGGCATAAGTACCTGCCTGGCAAGCTCAAGTTCCTGAATTCGATCTCCGGTACAAAAATAAAAACAAGAACAGCAACAAAAAACTACTTGTAAATCTCTTCTCAAAAACAAACAATCCCAGCTGTTCAGGAGACTGGGACAGAAGAATCACTAATTCGAGACCAGCCCAGGCAATTTAGCAAGATATTATCTCAGAACTAGAAAGGACGGGGGATGCAGTTGGGTGGGAGAGCAGTTTTCCTAGCAGTTGGAGGCCCCAGGTTCAGTGTCCAAACAAGAAGCCGCAAACTAAAATGTGAGTGTATTTGGATTTAAAGGAGTTAGAGGAGATCTTAAAGTAAAAAATCACTGGGTAGTGAAGTGAGCCATGGTGTATTCAGTTTTTGGAAATAGGATGAAACCCTTGGGAAGGAAAGTCCTGCTTAGACCGGACCAGGTGTCTCCCAGTCGGGCAGGTGTGTGAGGCAGGGATGTCTCTGGAACTGTGCGGGGACTGAAGGTTCCTCTCCTAGTGTTGGTTCTGCATAGAAAGAGCTCGCATGCCGCTGTGGGTGTCCCCCCTGCCTAGTCACTTTGCTGAGTAACAGAAAGGATCCTCTCACAATGCAGGGGACCGTCCTTTTAAAGGACTGCTGCTGGAATTGTGGCCTAGGCTCAGCAGATAAAGAGAAAACGCTCCAGGTTGGTTATGGATTTGGAGGTGTCCGGCTTAGTTCCCAAATTGGAAGGCTCAAAGTCCTGAGGAGTCCTAGCTCCCCTTCTGGCTTATGATGTTTTCCTGACTTCTGCACCTGCTTCACGCTGAGCCCCAGCATGAAATACAGGGACCCACGTGGCCCCCACTGTGTTGCCTGGGGCCTGCGTGGGTCACTGCGCAGCCCGTGCTGTGCGTGTTTACTGCGTGACGTCTCCCCAGGGTTCAGCCTCATGGCCACCCTGACAATAAATGCGGCCAGGTATTCATGCCACTTTGAATGGGCCACTCCTCGCTCCTCGGGTTTTCTGTCCCGCTGCCCACAGCCCACAGTTCTTTGTTCTTCCAGTCAGAAGGTGGGGGCCACATCCCAGCTCTGGCAGACGAGATGCCCCAGAGCACAGCGCTCCTGCGTCACTGTTCCCCGGGGCGCCAGTCTGGCAAGGACAATTGTTCCCTGGGCTCCAGCAGCTTCATGTGCGCATTTCTCTGCCTGTGCCGCTAGTGGAGTTTTGGAAAAACGACTGTGTGCCACTGAGAACCCAGCCACGCTGCGCTGTGTCCTCCTGCGTCGGTGGAGGGCACAAGCTGTAGGTGCCACTTGCCTCCTGTTCTTCTATGCCCCCGCCGTTGCCTCTGCCTGGGAGGAGGAACCTGAGCCCCAGCAGCCGGTGACCTTGTTCAAGGTCGTGAGCTTGGGGTTGGCTCCATCAGGGAGAATCTGAAACCTGCGGGGGCGGTCAGGACCTGGCCAAGGGCCCTGGCCCTGAGCCCTGAGCCCTCTGAGACCCTGTGCTGTGATGCTCAGGACCTTGGTGTGGCCTGTCATCTGTGCTGGTTTCTGTCTGGTCATGGCAGGACCCTGACCCCTCTCCTGTGTGGAGTCTCCAACTCAAGGAGGCCTTTAGGCACAGGAGACGTGAGGCCATTCGTTTCTTTCACTCCTGTGTCGGCTCGACTACAGATGTCAGGGAGGTTGTAGGAGCCTAGACTACTTCCACCCCCCTGCCTGGCTCTGCCTCACACACATACACACACATGTGCACACGGGCACAGACTTGCAGCCGTGTATATGTGCACGCAGCGCACATGCCTGTACAGGTCTTGGAGCTGTTTGAGAACACCCAGCGGATGTTACTGCTGCTGTTTACACAGTGTGTTTCATAAAAACAAGCGCTTGTCTTCTTTAAGTTTCCTCTGAGGGCAGTTACAGATCGGAGCACTGAGAAGCCAAGTACTGTTGCAAGAAACGGAATTTGGGTTCTGCCCTGTACACAGTGGACAGTGACCTCAGCCATGCCCCTGTCTGTCCTTCCCGCGTGCCCTGGGCAGAGCAGTGTCCTAGGAGTGCTGTGCGCCCACCATCCTCAGAGGTGCCAAGGTTCCTGCCCAGGCGGGGATACAGCTGGCAGGTGCCACTTCCTTTGCCCTCCTGCAGGCTTTGTGGGCCCTTTGAAGTGAGGGGTGTGGATGCGGCCCTGGGAGGGGTGGTGTGGAGCAGGGAGGGGGCAGAGCAGAGTGGGTGAGGCTGGGGGTGAGGGCATGGGTGTGGTCCTGCTGCTCACTCCAGTGGGGTCTCTGCGTGGCTGGCCTTGTCCCGCTGCAGCCCCGTGTCTGGTCCTTGGACATTGCCTATGTGTCTGGTCCCTGGACATTGCCTTTGTGGTCTTCCTCTGAAGCCTGAAGTACCTGGGCTGGGTGGGAGACTAGGGGACCCTTGCGCCCATGACTACTGTGGTTGGACCTTTAGGAAAGATCTGGCAGGTGTTGGTTTCACAAGTAGTGTGGGTGCAAATGCATGTACGTTTATGTGTACATGAGTGCGTGTGTGTGCGCATCCACAGATGTGGATTTCCAGACCTCGCTGACCCCACCCTCTCAATCCTCTGAATGCATCCTGTATTGCAGTTCAGGTTGTGGGGTTGGGTGAGGGCGGCCCTGTGTGCTTGCTGTGGGGCAGCAGGGTGGAAGGCTCCCACTGGGCAGGGCCAGGGAGAAGGGCAGTGTCACAGGCCCACGCGGACCTGGGGCTGAGCTCAGGGAAGGATGGTGCCCTCCACATCCCTGGTTATTGGCCTTGCCTGGTCAGACGATGCCATACTCACTGCCTGCCCTGCATGAGTGCCGTTGGCACAGGGCCCTATCCACTACTACTCTGTCTGCTGCTGTGCAGCTTCAGTTAGGGGATCGGGGGGAGGGGGATATTAGGGGTGCCTAGGCCACGTGGTAGGCCATCCAGGGGTCACTTAGGGTGGAATGTCCATGGGCCTAGGCCCTGACAAGGAGGATTTCTTTCTGTGTGTTGTGGAACACGTGACCAGTGCCACAGGTTGGGTCTTGGGAGCGTCTCAGTGTTGAATTCAGGGCTAGGTGTTTTGCGTTTGTTACCTGGCCCTCAATGGCCTTGGTTTCTGGAGCTCATGACCAGGGAACTGCTCACGAGTGTCCCCAACCAAGGGCCCTGAAGGGGTCGGCACAATGGGTCCTGACGCTGCAGCATTGTCGTGTGAGCTGCACTCTGAACCAGTGGGAGTTAATCATAATGCCCGTGGGATCCAGCAGGATTTAGGCAATTTGAGACCCAAGGCTGCTGCCACCGCAGAACCCACTGGGTGGGCGCCAGACTGAGCACTGAGGTAGCCACGACAGGGCTGTTTGGGTTTGAGGTCCTTGTACGTGGGGTTGAGGAAAGCGTGAAGTTTGGGACCCAAGAGGGAATGAGCTGTGACTTGAGTGTCGTCCTCGCCTCTGGGGGCAGGGGCGCCACGGCCTCTTTTCCACCTGGATCCCACAGCCCCAGAGCTGCAAGCCTTGACTTACAGCAGGCGGCACCCTCTACTTGTGTAGCCAGCAAGTGCTGCTGTCCCTCAGTGTGGGGGGCCACAGAGGTGCCCTAGCTTGACACCCATGGTCTTTGTGCAGGATGCTGTGACCCCTGTAGCCAGCCGTGGGGTTGGGCCTGGGCCCTGCTGGGCCTGGGGTGTTCTGGGCCCAGTCCTGCATCAATTCCCCCTGCTCCCTTTCTGTCCCTGACTTCTCCCCTTCATATCCTCTCCTCTTGCTCCTGCCACTACCCTGGCGGTTCCTTCCTTCTCTGGCACAGGCCTGCCCCATCAGAGCTGGAACAGAGTGCTTGTGCCCTCAGGCCTGGCTGATGGCCCAGAGTGGGGGTGCTCGAGCCCCTCAGGGCACCTGCTATGTGCAGCCTGGCTAGGACAGGGTTTGAGAAGTAGCCACGTGCGTGACCATGGAGGCCAGCTGTGCCCTGCTCCCAGGTTCTCACAGAGGTCACTACATGGGTGTACAAGTCCTGTCTCGTAGGAAACAAAGACAGGAAAGACCAGGCCAGGAAACTGCCCCCTTGTCCTGGGTCCCCACACTATTGGCCAGGTACATGTAGATCTTGGCACGGAGGCCGTGTGACCCAGTGGTTAGGGAGCTGGCATGCTGGGCTGGAGTGGGAGGATACAGGTCAAGTCCCAAGGATCACGTTGGCCATGCAGCTCTCTGTGGAGGTTGGACCAGATGGTTGACCTGTGCCTGTGGGGTCAGAGGTTAGAAACACAGAGGATGGCTCTGGTGGTTGTGCCATCCTCTATCCGGTGGTTGTGCCGTCCTCTGAGGATGCCAGAAGCTCATCTCTATGGCCCTGCCTGGTGCTGGGATCCTCATGGCCAGAGATGCTAGCCCCGTTCTCTGCTAGGCCTGCACCTGCCCTGCATCCCTGCCCGGGTCAGAGGATGGGGGTCAGAGCTGACACTGCCCTGGGGACATCGGTGCTCTTGTATGAACAGCAGCAAATTTTTCAAACTTCTCAGCTGTCCTAAAGAATTGGGGTGAGCAAGGGCCAGGAAGTTCACTGAGTTCAGGGTGCAGGAATGATCTCTTAAGGCCATTCTGTGACAGTGTCAAGAATGCTGGTCCTGCTCTTCCCTTTGACACTGCCTGCTCACCCTGCAGGAGATGGGACGCCCCGGGAGAGCAGCCCGTTCATCAACAATGTCGACGTGGAGCGGGAAAGCTACTACGAAGGGAAGAACATGGCGCTCTTTGAGGTGATGTTGTCTTTGTTCAGAAGGGGCCCAGGATGTCACAGGGGAGACAGAGCAACTGTGCCGTGAGGCCTAGTGTGACCAGGAGGTGGGAGCCAGGCCAGCTCGCGCCTCACGGTTCTTCAGCCCTCCTGGTTGGGGTGCTTTGCCTGGGGGAGCCCTGAGCCCTTAAGATGCCACATGTGCCCAGAGCCCTCTCAGACCATCGTACAACAAGCACCTGTCCCCAACAGGAGGAGATGGACAGCAACCCCATGGTGTCCTCCCTGCTGAACAAGCTGGCTACCTACACCAACCTGAGCCAGGGTGTGGTGGAACACGAAGAGGATGAGGACAGCAGGCGGCGGGAAGCCAAGGTACTAACCCTGCCCACTCCAGTCACATCTAGCTATGCAAAGTGGGGTGGCCCCACCTTTCCCTGTGAGGCCTCTGGAGGTCTCCACGAAGGCCAGAGTATGGCCTGGTCTCTGGTGCTGAGTGGAATGAGGTTCAGTCCTCGAGGGAGCTTGGGGTGGTCGTGACACCGTGAATGGCCACAGGGCCCTCTTGCCACGCTGGGCAGCCCACTGGCTGCGCCGGGCTCTCTGCCCTCCACAAAGTCCCCACGGTCCAACAGATGTCTGGGCAGTGCCAGTGAGATGGGAGAGAGGTCTCTGCTCCTCGCATACCTCATTGTCACAGACCTTCTCTGGCCACAAAGTCCCTGTGCCCAGGTCTCCTGCCTGCCTTCTCTGTAGATGGCCAAGAGAGGGCGCTGCTGCCTGGTTTTTCAATTTCTTGATCTTTTTCATGGGAATTGAGCCCGGAGCTTTTGCACTGAGCTACATACTAGCTTCTTTATTTTATTTATTTATTTATTTTTTTATCTTGACACAGGGTCTCACTGAGTCTCTGTTGCCCAGGTAGGGTCTGAATTTGTGATCCTCCTTCCTTAGCTTCTCAGAGTATTGGGGTTTACAGGACTGTGCCCAGTTGCCCCAGTGCTTTTCAAAAACAATGCCAAGGGCCCGCTTTCTCTGTGAAGTGGGAGCTGTGGTGGAGGAGTGTCGCCTTCCTCACACCCTGGTCCCCACAGTCGCCCTCCGCCATCATCCTCACCCACAGCGGTTTCTCCCTCTCCTTCCTCACGCTGCACCTGCAGTGGAATGTGCTCCACTGCCCTGGGGTTCCCGAAATGTGCACCCTGTTTGTGGCTGAGGCTGCTTTTGGGGGGTCACAGGAAACCACAAAGAGCACAGACAGGGACAGAGTGCAGTGAGGGCACTTCAGCCCAGCTGGCAATGGGGGCCTCCTGGGACTGTCGCTGCTGCAGAGGTTCCCCTGCCACCCCTCAGCGACTAGTGATGTTGTCAGTGTCTCCACCGGAGACACTGTCCACCCACGGCCTACAGGGTGCAGAACCTGACCTCTGTCCAGGCTGAGGGGTCGAGATGGGAGGTCGCCATGCTGGTCCCCTCTGGACATCATGGCCACCAGTTGTTCTGGTTCAGTAAGTGTGGTGCCCAGCCTGGCTGCCCTTTTGTTGGGCCCTGGGCCTCAGCTGTGGAGCTCTGCACTTTGCCTGGCTAGGACTTCGTGGGGTCATGCTGTATGTGGTCCCTGAGGAGCTTGCCTGTCCTTCTGTGGTGGTCAGTATGACCTCCTGGGGCATTCCCTTAGCATGGTCACAGGGGTTGTGGCCACCCCTAGGCCCTCTTGGCACTGGACTGTGTGATGTCCCAGCCTTACACCTGGGATGAGAGGAGGGTGGGACAGAATGATGACTCACATTTAGGGAGGAGGAGACTGGGGAAGGCCTGGGTTGGTGCTGAAGGCCAGGCCACACTGGGTGCACAGAGCTGGGCCCCCTGGACACGATGCTCTCTTCCAGGCCCCACGCATGGGCACCTTCATTGGCGTCTACCTGCCCTGCCTCCAGAACATCCTGGGTGTGATCCTCTTCCTGCGCCTGACGTGGATTGTGGGGGCCGCTGGTGTTCTGGAGTCCTTCCTCATTGTGTCCATGTGCTGCACCTGTGTGAGTGGTCATGGCCACCTGCTGCCAAGGCCCCAGGAGTTGGGGCATCCTCACCCATGGGGGCCTGGAGTCTAATGCTATGAGCCCTGGGATGACCCTGCAGCTCTGTCCCAAGGTGCCAGCATGCCAAGGGGACACAGTTGGTCTCAGTTGGCCTGCTAAGGACTGGCCCTTAGCACTGACTAGCCAGTGCTATCTTCCATGTCCCACAGGGCATGTTGAGCTATCACCAGGCCCCTCAGCACGCCCTGTGCTTTGATAGGGCCATCTTCTAGCTTGGTGGGACATTTTCTGTGACCCTGTGCCCTGTGCTGACTAAGGATTTTCTCTCCATCTCTGTGCTCCAGCCTTGTCACTAGCCCAGCTGTGTATGCCCTTCCTCTCACAAGAAGGGCATAATATAGCTCCTTAATCTCCCACCTATCACCTGAAGATAGCCACTGGGCCTCTCATGACTGGCTCCAGGCCCGTCTAGACACTTGTGGTGGCTGCTGGTACTTCCTGGTGCGATGGGCAGCCTTTCCTGAGATGGCGGTAGCTGGAGATGGGGCCCCAGAGCCTCCTGGATGTTCTTCATACCCCTGGAGAATGGGCATGAGATGGGCCATTGTGCCCCTGTGTAGGGCAACATCTCCCTGGGGTCCCTGAGGAGCAGGCACTCCAGCAGAGTCAGCCTTCCAGGTCCAGAGTCTTATGTTGGGGTGTCCTGTGAGCTGGGAAGAAAAATAGTCTAATTTAATATTAATATTTAGGTGAAAGGTTTGAATGTTTAGTCAGTTTCAGTTACATATTGTGGCTTCTTGACCAGAGTAAAACACCCGGGGACACCCCACGTGTCATCTCACACTGCCCTTCTAAGTTGGGAGCCAGGATGGGTAGCCTAGCCCAGGGTCCCCGCCCTCAGAGACCACCTGTCTTTGCAGACGTTGCTGACTGCCATCTCCATGAGCGCCATTGCCACCAACGGTGTGGTCCCTGGTGAGTTGCTGTGGTCCTTGAGTCCCTTCCTTCCTTCCTTCCTTCCTTCCTTCCTTCCTTCCTTCCTTCCTTCCTTCCTTTCTTTCTTTCTTTCTTTCTTTCTTTCTTTCTTTCTTTCTTTCTTGTGGTACTAGGGCTTGAACTCGGGACTTGGTGCTTGCCAGGCAGGTGCCTATGCCGCTGAGCTATTTCCCTGGCCCACCTTGAGTCAGTTTAAACGAGTCCTCTCCCTGCATTGAGCCCAGCCTCGTGTGTGTGGATGCTGTTCCCTGCTCTACTGTCACAAGGATGCGCATCCTCACCCAGCATGGCACTGGGGTGCACACCCACCCTTACCCTCCTGTCTACTTTGTGACTGAGGACGGCTTTGCTCCCAAGCAGGGTCTGGCCCTTCGCAAGCTTGCATGTGGCCTGTCCTTGAGCACCGCTGCCCTGTCCCTGCACATGGAGACAGGCGATGTGTGCCAGGTCTTGCGGAACCTGGGCATGCTGGACCGTTATGAAGACCCATGGTGGTGCAGTAGCCTCCTGTGCCAACCATCCGGTTGCTTTCGGGGACGCTGGGATTCCATGATCTGTGGGGGGTTTGTTCAAATGCAGTCTTTTTTGAAGACTGGGCTCAGATACCTGCTCGCTGCGTGTGTGACTGGGACCAACCCTGTGCTGTCCTAAGTCCCTCTAGCACCAGCAGTGGGTCCTGGGTAGCTGCCTGCCTGTGCTCCATGGTGGCCTTCCCTGACCGAGGTGTGCAAGGCCTTGCTAGCTCCAGATCTACTTCCTGCCCTGGCTCTGTCTCACAGGATGGGAAGACACTGACTGTCCCCAGCCAGCCTGGCTCTGCTCTGCCTCTGTGAGAACAGCTCCCAGACTGGGTGGTGCTGGGGCTGCAGGCCTGGCTGTGGGAGGCACCTCGTCTTTGCATCTGTGTGCATGAGAGCTTACCAACCTGCTGGACACCCCTCCTGGGAAGGGGGCCTGGGGTTAGGGTCACAGAAGCCCACGGGGTGCTCTGTGGGTCACCAAGCACCCCAGCTCTGCAGCTGCGTGAATACACCATCCCTCTTAACCTGTTTCTCTGCCCATATCCTTTGCAGCTGGGGGCTCCTACTACATGATATCTCGGTCACTGGGGCCTGAATTTGGGGGCGCTGTCGGTCTCTGCTTCTACCTGGGCACAACGTTTGCAGGGGCCATGTACATCCTTGGGACCATCGAGATCTTTCTGGTGAGCTCCATTTAGCAGCTGCCCTTGCCCAGCATGCTGCCCACGGGCTTTCCCCAGGTGCCCCACATCCCTGCCCTGCCCAGGCTCTGGCTGCATCCTGCCTCCCGTTCCTGAGGCCTGTGGCAGTCTAGGAAGGTCAGAGGCAGGGGGCTGTTGAGAGAGACAAACAGAAATGGAGATAGCCCCATTTCCTGCTACCTGAAAGGGCCCTTCTGCTCCCTTGCTCTGGTCCCCTGCAGTGTGGCAGGCGGGGCTGGACAGGGAGAGAGTCGGGGGCCTGCGTCTGCATGAGAAGAGCTTTGTGCTTCTTGCTTCTTGGGCATCAGTGCATCAGGGTGAATGGGTCGGGGGACCCCCTGTGGCAGAATACAGGGGCTGGAAGTCTGGGCAGCTGACCCTCCTGATGCATGCGGTTCCGCAGACCTATATCTCCCCCGGAGCGGCCATCTTCCACGCGGAGGCGGCAGGCAGCGAAGCAGCTGCCATGCTGCACAACATGCGGGTGTATGGCACCTGCACACTGGCCATCATGGCTGTGGTGGTCTTCGTGGGCGTCAAGTATGTCAACAAACTGGCCCTGGTTTTCCTGGCCTGTGTGGTGCTGTCCATCCTGGCCATCTATGCTGGTGTCATCAAAACTGCCTTTGACCCGCCTGACATCCCGTGAGTCTACCCACAGGCCTGGCCCTGCCCCTCTTCCCTACCTGGCCCTGATCCTTAGCCCTGCCCTCCAGGGCGTCCTGGACAGTCACATCTCCCTGGGCCCTCTGGGGTTGCCGTGAGGGATGTGGGAATGTGGTGCTGTATGGTCCGGCCAAGCTGCTATCAGAAGCCTGGAGGTTGTGTGGACCCCACACTCTACAACAGGCCAGGCAGCTTCCATGTGGCCACCCCTCTGCTGCCCAGGCCCCTGTGTCCTCACAAAAGCCCACATAGATTCTTTCTTCCCAGCGAGGTTGAGAAGGGAGGTGGCCAGGTCACAGCCAGCAGGAGGTGGGTGGTGGAGGGGGCAGAGGAGCTGGGGCCTTGACTAGTTAGGAGTGATATGGGGCTGGGGTGGGGGCCGTGGGAGAATGGGTCAGGGAACCCCTGTGGCGGATCAGCTCCTCCTCCTCAGATACAGAGCCTGTGGCCCCGCTCTGGCTGAGTTGGACCCATGGGTGGTCCTGCTATTGTGATAGCTCAGCACATCAGACACTGGAGGATCTGAGATAGTGGAGAAACTGAGTTGCACCTGCCCACTGCAGGGTCTGCCTGCTTGGGAACCGCACGCTGGCAAAGCGCAGCTTTGACACCTGTGCCAAGGTCCACATGGTCAACAACGGCTCAGCAATGGTGACCACTGCACTCTGGAGCCTATTCTGCAACGGCTCCAGCACCAGCGCTGCCTGCGACCAGTACTTCATGCAGAACAATGTCACTGAGATTCAGGGCATCCCCGGCGTGGCCAGCGGTGTTTTCCTGGGTGAGCCCCCACGGCGAGGCCCCACCCCCTCCTGCCTGGCTGTGTCCCCGGCTTCTTACCTGGCCAGACCTTCAGCTGTCGCCTTCCCAGGCCCACAAGTTGGTCTCCGAGCCAGAGCTCATTGCACAGTGTGTCACTGGCATGCACAGGACTATGCTAAGGAAATACCTGGGCATGGGAGACGTCCCTCTGCTCCTCAGGATAAAGGGGAAAAAACGTAACTGCCAAGCTGCTAGATGTCAGGTCAAAAAATGGATTCCAAGGAACAATGGGAGTGAAGTGTAGGAAATTTATTAGGGAATCGGAATAGCTCCTAAGAGGGAGAAGGGGCCCTGGGTGCGTCACCAGAGCCCACTTCTCTAGAAAGTTTTACAGAGTAAAATCAGAAAATGAGTACACTTAGTTCAGAGCTGTAATAAGATTGCAGGTGTAGCTGCTTAGCCAACGCTGATCCAGTAGTTGCAGGGGCACTTGGTGACATTGTTAACCTGGGTGGGTCATCTGTCGTCTCAGTGTTGTACTTAGTCTTGTCTTAGTCTCGGTGGGAGAGGATGGTTGTCCCAGGGAGATCATGGTTTACTCATGTGGGAAATCTCAAGCATCAGCTTGTCCCTTAGAGAATTATATAGGTCTGACTGTGACTTAATCTTCCGATGCACGGCCAGCCACCGCTGTGCTGTGTTCTCACCCTCTGCACTGACTCCCTCCAGGGCTCACCAGTGTGACCGCCTGGACTGTTTCTACCTAACCGAGCCATCTGTCATGCTGTCACCTGGAAGACAGGCCTGGCTCTGGGGAGGAATTGGCACTGGGGGCACAAAATAGCACTGGTCCCTGGTTGCCCACCTGAAGGCGTCTTAGGGTCCGGCTGGGGTCTGGTGTGTACTCGCAGGGCATGTGTATCCTTGCTGGGCACCCAGACACCTGTCCAGGTTGAGTGGCAGGGAGGGTCCCCATAAAGTCGCACGGGTAGTGGGATCTGGAACAGAGGGATGCAGGTGTATGCAAGGCAGAGAGGCCATGTGGTGGCCTGTGAGGATGCCCAGCCATCCAAGGCAACGTGAGGCTGTGCTGCCCTATTGCATGTGGGGTTGGTACCACTGGGGCCTGTGCCAACCACTGATGACTAGGGCTGTTATAAGACTACGTGGTGTCTGAGGCTCCCCACTGGAGCCTTGCACGTGGGTTTGGGTTTGGTGAGGGTGGCTTATGGGTCGGAGAGAAGGGCCATGACCATGGACAGCGAGAGCTCTGAGTGTCCCCTGAAGCACAAGGCCTCAGGGAACCTGACAGAAGGTTCCAGAACCTGCTGGTGAACCTGCCTGTTTCCTCAGAGAATCTGTGGAGCACATACTCCGACAAGGGTGCCTTTGTGGAGAAGGAGGGTGTGCCTGCGGTGCCCGTGCCTGAAGAGAGCCGTGCAAGTGGGCTGCCCTACGTGTTGACCGATATCATGACGTACTTCACCATGTTGGTCGGCATCTACTTCCCCTCTGTCACTGGTGAGGCTCCCCTCCCCATCTGTCTCATTGTCTCTTTCTGTCTCTGTCTCTGTCCTTGTCTGTCTGTCTCTGTGGTCCCTGTATCTATCTCTCCCTGTCTGTCCTTGCTGGGCACCCAGCAACATGAGGATTTAGAAAATAAAGACAAAGAGCTGGCCATCTCGGCATTTCTGTCCTTATGTAACTCTCTGTGTCATTCTGTCTTGTTATTTGTATTTCTGTCACTGTTTCCACCTCTCTGTCTCCTATTTCTAACTGTCTCCCCATTTCTGTTCCCTGTCTCTCACTGTCTTGTTGATGTCTCTGTCTCTCCATCTTTGTCTTTGTCTCTGTCCCTGTGTCTCAAAATGAATCCCCCTGGGAATTGCTGCACAGCACTGGGGGTAGAGACTGGAGTGGCAGTGCATGTACCTGAGGCCTTGGTCCTCAGCTGTCCTCTGCGTGGGTCAGTGACTCAGACTGGACTCACCCACTACTGGCTTCTCTGTGCCTCTGGCCTAAATTTTCCTCTATTGTATGAGCTCCATGCAGCGGCTCTTCCTGTGGGCCAGAGTAGGAGGGTTTGCATGACTCCCTTTGTGCTGGACCAGGCCACAGTGGGTCATCAGCCATCAGCACGTGGCTCTGATCTGGGATTTTTGGCTGTACCCATGAGATTCACTGAGATTTCAGGGCTCTGCCTTGGTGGGAGAGTGGCTTCTGAGGTGGTGCTGGTTCCCTAGTGACAGGGAAAGGCAGGACTGTGTTGGGACTGGTTGGTCTCTTGGTGGTCCCTGGGAGAAAACATGAGGATTTAGAAAATAAAGATAAAGGGCAGGCCAAATAGCTCAGCAGACTGAAGTGTCTGCAAGCAGGCACAGGGCCTGGAAATTCAATCCCTGGACCTGCCATACCGACCCTGCCCCCGGGACACACTGAGACAGCCATTGAGACTGGGCATGGTGGCGCACACCTGTAATCCTAGCTCTTAGGAGGCTATAAACAGACAGATCACTACGAGTCCAATCTAGTAGTGAGACCCTGAACACCCTGTAGACTCTTCCCTAAAATAAAAAAATAAATAAATAAAGACAAGGATAATAGTTGAGGTCAGATAGTGGCCTATTTGCCTAATTGGCAGAGGACCCAAAGGACAACAGTAGGGGCATTTCACAAGGTTGCCTAGCAACTAATAGCCAAAATTGTCCAGGCAGGATGTTTTTTTCAAGACAGAGGTAGGTTGACTGCGTAGGCACCGAGGCCTTATCCTGCCCTCGCACATGACCAGTTTCCAGCTTGAGCTGCTCCCAGTAGATTTAGGCCTCATCCTCACAGCCTAGAGAGGGTCATCAGGACTCCAGCCTCACCTTGACCTGGGAATACCAGGCTGGGGTCCTTACCTCAGCCGTGCCCCTACCCTATCCTGTGGCATGGACACTGGGGTCCAGGCCACACTCTCTCTGGCTGTTTCACAGAGGACAGTGTCCTAAAGGCACAGGGTCCCCAGAGGCCTCTCTCTGGCACCTGGCAGCAGCCCTGTCCTTTCTGACGCCTTGCTGGATCTGGGCCGGCTATAGCCATGCACCAGCCCTGCCCATCCATGTTGGCTTGTCCGTGTTTCCCACAGGTATCATGGCAGGGTCCAACCGCTCCGGGGACCTCAAGGACGCACAGAAGTCTATCCCCACGGGGACCATCCTGGCCATCGTGACCACATCTCTCATTTGTATCCTTGACAGACTTACAGGTGGAGATGCTGGCTCCCAGCCTTGGGCCACCTTCTCCTCTCATGCAGAGATGTCTCGGGGTCTCCAGCCAGTGGGTCTGGCTGTAGCTCCGTCCTCTGTGGAGCTGGGCTGCTGAGCACACGTGCATCGGTCACCCGTGACACTTGCACCCTGCTTCCCTCACACTTGGTCACATGATTTCTCCATGCAGCCTAGGGGTGGGAATGCTGTCACATGGAGATGGGGGTGCTGTCACACAGCTACTCAGCAGCGAGTACAGACAGCTGCTGACGGGACACAGTCATAGTCAGTGTAGGAACAGGAAGCTGGGCTGGAGGTGTCTGGTGTCTGTAAGCTCTGCCTTGCCAGCTGGGCTGTGTATCCCCAGTGATGTCCCTGTGGTGGACTTGTGCGCCCAGGCACATCCTGCTCCTCAAGAGCCCTGTGCTGGACAGCTGGACGGAGTTTTGAGAAGAGGCCCAAGACTCACGAGACAGTACAGACAGGGTCGGGGTTGGGGGTAGCACAGGGCAACATGGCCCAGGATGGGTGGGGACAGGGTCAGCCCAGGTCCCTGTGTCAGTGCTATCCTGCACATGGCCCCGTCTCCTGTCGAGCGCTGCTCAGGCCTTGACCCAAGCTTCAGATCTCTCCTGCATTGTGCTCTTTGGGGCCTGCATTGAAGGTGTTGTCTTGCGAGATAAGTACGTTATCCTTTGTGTCTTTCACAGGTAGTATGGTCAGTTGTCTTGGCAACTTCTGCTCCAAAAGGGAAGTCCTGGCAGCGCTCAGAGCTCCACCTGCCCTGAGGTGGCTGCCCTCCGCATGGTCAGGCTGCCGTGGGGGCCCCAAACTGCTTGCTGGGCCTGGGGTGCAGACAGGGAGGGGCTTGGACCCCAGGGCTGCCCCTGAGGAGGGTGTGGAGCCTAGTGGAGTGCGTATCCGCCAGGGCCTCAGTCACAGGTGCCCTGCTGGGGGAAGCCACGTGGTCACCAGGCCATGGCAGGCCTGGTGTGCAGGTGACCACAGTGACTCCAGGAGCTGGGGCTTCCTGCTCCAACAGCCACCTTGGAGGGTGTTGGCCATGCTGGGTCAACGTGAGCATCCTGACCAAGACTCCTCACCAAGGAGCTGACTCCGCCCTGGCACCCTCTCTAGGGGGCAGAGACATTTTCACCTGTCCTCAGCTCACTCCCGGGAAGCTGTGCTGACTGCCCACTCTGCCTGCCCACAGGTTTGGGGAAGCCCTGCAGGGAAACCTGGTCATCGGCATGCTGGCCTGGCCATCCCCCTGGGTCATTGTCATCGGCTCCTTCTTCTCCACCTGTGGCGCTGGCCTCCAGAGCCTGACTGGGGCACCCCGCCTGCTGCAGGCCATCGCCCGTGATGGCATCATTCCCTTCCTGCAGGTAGGCCCTGACCTGGGCCCCATGGTGGACATTGCTGCCCTTTGGGGGCCTGGGAAGTTGTGACCAGGTGGGAGGGGTCTGTGAGGGGCCTCTTCCTAGGTGTGACTGATACAGTGTCACCCCTAGTGACCTGGGTCACTGCTAGGCTGGTGAGTACAAGAGGGCTGTGTGGCCCCTTCCCCCACAGGGCAGGTCTGTCCATGTGGCCTGTGAACCCTGTGCTGTGTCCTAGCTGGTCTCATTGACAGCAAGGACAGCCTAGATGTCCTGGGATGAGGCTGCCTTGGGTGAATTTAGAGGCTCTGGGTATGGGTGAGCAAGGGTCTCGGGGCATCCTGGGGCCTGGCAGGGGACAACCAGTGACACATTAGGAAGATCATGACTGCTCATCTTCCCACCCACAGGTGTTCGGCCACGGGAAATCCAACGGGGAGCCCACTTGGGCTCTGCTGCTCACAGCCATCATCTGTGAGACGGGCATCCTCATTGCCTCACTGGACAGCGTGGCCCCTATCCTATCCATGTGAGCGACTATATGTCCCTTGGTGCACTGGGCACCTTCAGCCTGGGAACAGTGCATGAGTGGGTGCAGCCAGCTTGGTGGGCATGCATTTGGGCGTACATGTGTGGGCAAAACAGGTCAGGTGGGCATGTGTGTGGGGGCACATGTGGGTAGGGCAGAGGATGGGCACACGTGAGTGGGTTGGGCACGTGTGTGAGCGAGGTAGGCTGGATGGGTACACGTGGCTTTTGGGGCTGTGGGCTTTCGGGATGAGATGGGCAGCACTGTGTTCACATCTCACTGTAAGCGGCATGTAGCAGGGTGGCAGGGCGTGGCCTGCATCTGTGTGGACCAGAAGTGGCTGGAGCCGGACGTGGCCAGAGCAGAGACCAGGCCAGTGTGACTCAGTTGTCTGTGACCCATGTCCCTGTTCAGGTTCTTCCTCATGTGCTACCTGTTTGTGAACTTAGCCTGTGCCGTGCAGACGCTGCTGCGCACACCCAACTGGCGCCCCCGCTTCAAGTACTACCACTGGTAAGGCTGTGAGGATGGGTGGGCCCACCTTTGGCCCCAGGGATGGTGTCTGGTCCTCCCTGGGACTTCAGGGTTCCGTGCAGTATTGGGTCCCCAACTTGTGGCCAGCCTGAGCCTCCCCACCTGGAGTATAGGTGATAGCGGGTGTGGGCTGCCTCAGGTTTCCCTGGGCTGCAGGCCCTGGAGACAGAGAGACCACTGTGTTGCTGGTGAGGCCAGTAAGGGAGGGTGGGGGCAGTGGTGTCGTCTTGGAGCTGGGAGTCAGGGAGGCCTGGGGTCAGCTGACCGCCGTGCGTGGGGACTGTGTTCCCAGTGTTGGGACCGTGGCGTGCAAGGCATCCAGCCCTGAGCCGCGTGTCCCTCAGGACGTTGTCCTTCCTGGGCATGAGCCTGTGCCTGGCCTTGATGTTCATCTGCTCATGGTACTATGCTCTCTTCGCCGTGCTCATCGCTGGCTGCATCTACAAGTACATTGAGTACCGCGGGTGAGTGGCACCCATGGGTAGGGGGAGTCGGGCTGTGTTGCCTTCCCTCAGGGCGCTCTTTGGCAAGGGGCATGGGACAGTCCTTACTGGGGGCAGGGACACAGGGACCCCCCCGGCCAAAGCTTGGACAGGCCAAGGCCACTTCTGGCCTGGAGCATGCTGTTGTTGGCGGCCCCAGTGGCAGGCCACCTGGGCTAGTGAGCATTCATCCCTCCTGTGCTGTGACTGGGCAGTGTATCCTCATCTGTGTCGGCGCTTGTACTTGCGCCCCTCGTGGCCAAGGCCCTGCCCACTCCCCCCCCCACCCCCGTGAGACCTTCTTGTCCACACCATTGCCCTGTCTCCCTGCCCAAGGGTAGGCCATGCAGCATTGTCCCTCAACTGGGGCTTCACAGTGTGCTTTGGGGGCAGTGTGTGACAAGCCTCCTGCTTCCCTAATGTACACACCAGCAAGACAGTAGCCGGCAACCACATACCACATGGCCACATCTCAGAGCTAGGATCCTAACAGCTACTATGTCTGTTTCCCATAACCTCCCTGGACCTGGCCTGGCACAGCATGGGCCGTCCATTCTCTGAACGGAGGCAGTGGAGTGGCTGTCTTGACCCCATTTTGTTGACCCACTGCAGACCTGACTAACTCAAGCTGAGCCCCAGCTCCTCCCATGTTATGGGCTCCTTGCCCTCTGGACTTTCGCCTGGGATCTGGCCTGCTTAGCTCTCTGCTTGATGGGGCCAGGGCAGGAGTTAGGGGAGGTGGCTGTCCCTGCTAGAGGACCAGCTGCCTGGCCTGCTGTGCCGAGGCCTGGGCTTGGTCCCATGTGGGGGCCATGCTGCCTCTGCCTTCTCTGTTCCTCCTGGACGCACCCCATATACCCCCCTGTAATCCCCTCCAGTGGGCATGCAGGCACAGAGTGTCATATATGAGGCCCTTTTCTGTTCCCACAGGGCTGAGAAGGAGTGGGGTGATGGCATCAGGGGCCTGTCACTGAACGCTGCCCGGTACGCCCTGCTGCGTGTGGAGCATGGGCCGCCCCACACCAAGAACTGGAGGTACACCGTCACTGCAGGCCCCTGGGGGCTGGGGGGCAGAAACCTGGGGATGGCTTGTATCTTTGCTGCAAGGCCCTGGGAGACACGAATGTCCTTGACAGGGTGTCCTTGGCCTGTGACTGGCCAGCAGCACAGCCACTTTGTCTGCAGAGGACACCTGCCCCAGTCTCCCAGGGAGCCGGGGATGAGGGCAGGTGCCTGTCCTCCTGTCCTGCCCCCTCCTGCCCTTTTGTCCCCTCCCCTCCCCTTTCCCCATGAGCTACCCTGTGGTGGTGTGCTTACTGCTGTCCCCATTCTGTTGGTTCCTCCTGCTGGGCGCCCCAGGCCCCAGGTGCTAGTCATGCTGAACCTGGACACAGAGCAGGCTGTGAAGCACCCGCGCCTGCTGTCCTTCACCTCGCAGCTGAAGGCCGGCAAGGGCTTGACCATCGTGGGCTCTGTGCTGGAGGGCACCTTCCTGGACAAGCACGCAGAGGCGCAGCGGGCTGAGGAGGTGGGCATGGAGGCGTATCTCGGTTACTCTTCTCGTTGATGGGACAGATACCCGACACTCAAAATGCAGGAAGGAAAGGTTTATTTAGCTCACAGTTACTGGAGGCTTCAGTCCACACTCAGCTGGCTCCAAGGCAGAGCGGCACATGGCAGAGGGCAACCTTTCAGGTGCAGCACCCACACCCACAATAACTCAATCCTAAATTTCAGAAGCTGCCCATGAGCTGCATGGGGCTTTGGGGTCGGGGGGACACCTAGACACAAACCATATCAAGGGGGCTGTGTGGGGCTGTGGAGATGGTGGTGTGGAGAGCTCAGAGCCCAGGCACACATGGCCCAGCTGGAGGGGCCGTGGCTACTCCTCAGTGGAGGAGTTGGTCCTCTGCCACGTGCTGTTCCTGCGTGATGCTGACACCAGTCGACATCTGCTGGTCATAACTGGTATCCCTGAGATCCCGGGATCTTGTGGTCTCTTCATTTTGACTTCTTGTGATGGGAATTTCAAACCTAAGCAGGGTCAGGCAGGTGGGACCATACTGCCCCAGTGGCTGCCCCAGCCTCTGCTTTCCTCATGTGGCCAGTGCTGTCACTGCAGATGCCCTGCCCATCTGCCGATGGTCAGGCCTGCCCTCCATCAGCCCTGCACAGGGCTCCGTCTGTCTTGGGCTGGGTCCTGGCCTCTCCACCTCCTTCCTAACGGGTGTCCTTGGTGGCCTCTTGGGTTGAGTCCCTTTTTTACCCCCAGGTCTGTAAACCCAAGCTGGCCACTTGGAGGGAAAGTAGCAGTGGACGGCTATGGCCTTAGTTGAGTCGAGATCCTGAGTTGCAGGACGGTGTCACAGATCAGCCTCTTTGGAGCCCCTGAGGGCCAGCATCTCAGGTGGCAGGAGGAGCCAAGGCCCTTTTCTCTCTGGGGAAAGGAGCAGATCTCAGCTTGGGCCCAGTGGCTGATGTTGCATGGCCACATGCTGTTGTCCTCCTGCCCACCCGAGGCAGCCTTTCATGGTGGCACCTGGTCTATCCAGAAGCGGGGCCACACGTGACCTGGCATCCACCCAGCTGTGCTTGTCTCAAGTGTTGAGGTGGCCTCGGCCCCCGTGCCTCTGCCTTGCGAGTGCTGTTCTTCACACATCCTGCCCTGCAGGTACCTGGACTTGGGCGGGTCCTGTGTGAAGCGAAGCTCCTTGGGGTCTGGGCGGTGCCTGTATGCCTTTGCTGGTGCTAAGTACCGGCAAACTATTGTGGCAAGTGCGCCGGCAGCAGCTTGACCTGCTCTGCAATCTCTGCCAAGGCCAAGACCAGGGTCCCCTTCTGTCATGGCAGATCTGTCTCAGCCATTCTGAGGATGCTTCTGGGGCTCTGGACCAGGTGTGTGTGCTGCTGAGCCATGCAGCCTGGAACATCCTCTGCCCAGAGGCTGGCCTCGTGGGACATCCCCATTTCTCCTGACCAAGGTCCACTTGTCCAGAGCCTGTGCAACAGGGCCACTGGCTATGCTGGGCCCCGTGACTGCAGGGACCATGCCCATTCCCACCAGGCCAGGGCTGGGTTCTGGCCAGGGGAAGTTAGCATCCTCTGGAGGCCATTCCTGAGCTCAGCAAAACTTTAAAAGCAGTATCGTGTTAATATCTCCTAGTTATTGAGGACTGATCAGGTCCACAATCCCCAAAGGAGTGGACTGTGGAGGCTTAAATAAATGAAACAAATAAAATTATTTCAGGGCTCCAAGAGGAGCCAAAC